TTATTATTATTATTATTATTATTATTAATTATTATGGATCATCGCACAGTCAGCCAGATGTTCAGACTGGATTTGGCATTTTGTCTACCTATCGAGTCCTTCCCAAGGACCTGGGACAGGCAGATGTGGATGTTTGATGGTATTACAGATATCGTCGCAGGATGGAAGCAGTTCCTAGTAAGGCCGCCTTTTGCAATTGACTAATGGCGAATTTGTCAATGCCGATGAAGGTGTTCAAGTGGTTATTATTATTTTTATTTTATTATTATTATTATTATTATTATTATTATTATTATTATTATTATTATTATTATTATTATTATTATTATTATTATTATTATTATTATTATTATTATTATTATTATTATTATTATTACCATCCCTCACTTCCCACTTAGGGATTCTTAAGAAGGTGCTGACAAAAAAACTAACTTGGCTGCTTCTCAAACCTCAATTAAAGTCCTTCCTCGTTGGGTTCCAACTTCTAAGCCCTCTCCACCTCTCCCTTGCTTTGTTTTAGCCAAGCCGTTTCATTTCTACAATTAGTTCTTTTCCAGTCCGCCCTGGTGCATTTTAATTGCTTTTATTTTCTTGGGATGATCACACCGGAGCAAATAGCTCTGAAAGCAAGTTTCAGCACAGAGGACAACGCGAAGCGAGAGTTGCATCAACACAGGTAACTACCAACCTCTAACAGAAAGCTCAGAAGGAGCCACAACGGTTGGTTATGTGGTTATATTCCCTGAAGTTGAATAACTGCTGTTGAGCAATTTTTTCTTGGGAAGGGTTATTGTTTGTTTCTCCCCCCCCCTTCTATAGCTTCCTTTCTTCTTGCAGAAGATTTAAGACCGTGCTGGAAAAAAAAAATGTGGCTCTCCTGCTGTTTTTGGATTGCCATTCCTAGTAGCTCCAGTCTTCTAATTCTTGACATTTGTCAGGAATAATGAGAAGAACATTAGAAAACCACAGGACGCCTGTGTTTCCAGCTGATCTATTCACACATTTAAAAAAATGTCCTTAGAAAGGAGAGTAGATATTTTTACCTCTTACCTCTCCATTAGAACCTTACCTATTAGTCGGGGGTCCTTCATTTTTCAAAATGTCTTCCTATAAATACATAATTAAATAAATGGAATCCCAGCTATGCAGATGGAATTACCCTAC